CTCAGAGTGGCCCTTTGTCAAGTGAGTTGACTTGTACTGGCATTGGTCATTCTGTAAACCCTCTGGTCCTGGACAGCCAGACAGGAGGCACTTGTAGACCTGATTGAATAGGCAATAGTTCTGTCTGCTGAATTGCCGTGACTCACAGCAGACCGAATCTGCAGAAGCTGACTGTCTGTGAGAATGCCTTTTGGGGGAGGATACTTCTGAAGGGAGTTTGGCAAAAAAAAAAAATGGGGGATGCCCCGCATGGTCCCTTAAAGTGCACTCAGTGAGCATACAAGTAATTGTAAGCGTAATATTTGCACATACGTACAACCTTTCACTAATACCACAATACTGCCACTGGCAATGCCTTTTTATCTTTCCTTCTTCCTAAAATACTATCTCTTTTTAGGCATCATCAAGGGTCAGCATCTAATTCCAGAGCTAAGATTCTGGCCCATGGATGGAAGTCATGTAAATCTTATGCCTGTGCAGTTGCATCTATGTTCTTCTCTGTGTGCACACAGGCTTTTTGATATAGGGCAACCCCTCTGCTACAGCTGCCTCTCATTATGTGACCAGCCTGTGTAAAAATCCAATACGGTCTCACACAGATTAGCCCCTTGTTGTCGCTCCCCAGTTACCAGCTAGAACACTAGACTGACCAAAGTGATTCACCTCTCCTGCTCCTCTCAGATGAGCCTTGAGTGACTGTGCTTGGGCGCAGATACCTGACTGGTGCTCAAGAACTGCTTTTTAAATGATAGTTTTAATGGTGGATGCAGATTACACTACTGTATATTTTGAGGTGTCTGAAATGTGTTCACGCAGACTTGCAAAATTACTGATACGTCTGGCTCTAGCTGCTTTATCAGCTCCACCATCACTGCCATGAAGAGGAATGAGCAACGGGGAGCCATCGATTGCCCTCAGTTTTTTCAAATCAATGCTCTTTGATTCAAGGAAGCATCAAGCAATGATCAGCAGTAAAGACGTATACCTCCTATTGCTACCGTGTAATTTAATACCAATAGCATTGCGTGACTTCTTCATAGCTTTTATCATATATCGGTAGCAAGAGAAAGGAAGCCAAATAACTGCTGATTAGTGACTGATCTTCATTGAGAGATGACTGTGTGAGAGTGGATGGGGCACAAAGTAAGTGTTGTCAGGATCAGCAGTGAAAATATACATGTATAAAAAATGGTGCAGTGGGATTTCTGGATTTTCTATTTGTAGCATTAGATATCTCACAGCGATCTGTCCCATGCACTTGTCCCTCCATGTTTTCTCAAAACACTAACATCATTAGAAGAGGAGCAGTGATTGGTGGATCTCAGTATTGCATAGCAAGACTTTTTTAGTCACAATAGGCTTTTTCTCTCAGAAATATTTTATTAGACTTTTATCAAAATAAAAGAAAATAATACAAATGCAAAACCGCACTGGGTTGCCTTGGTCCATATAACAGTCAAGAACCGTAAGTAGAAAGAATTAAAGCTATGATCAAGTACACTATATCTTTAAGGCCCCCAGGAAGTGTACTGACCTCCCCCCCCCGAGCCCCCGATGAATGCCGACATGTAAAAACAACAATAACTAAAATAACCCAGTACTTATGTAATCTCAAGATTCCCCGATGTATCTGATAGACAGGCACTCAGGTACCATTCTGTATAGTGAAAGGGTGTCATGATCTGAGCAATTTCAGCTGGGGTGAAGGTAGCGCTTATGAAAGCTTTCCATCTATTATAAAATGTCTCGGATCTCATGTCGGGTTGAAGTTCTGCATCCAGTCGTTCACGATGAAACAGCACAGTCAATTCCCTCACCACCTCTTGTACAGTCGAAGGGGTATTTGAGTTCCATTTACGCATCACACAGTGTCTGGCCACTAGGAGACAAAGGTGCACCCATACACCCCCCCCTGTTGCTCCGTTCGCGGCATTATCACTTTTTACATTTGTACCGGATAAGGCTATTTACTATTATTCTGCACCAACTCCTTGCTTTGCCGATAATGTTTCTAACTGAAACACTTCTTTCACCTTGTTATGGAACGTATTGTGACACAACGCATGCCTGCACGTTCAGGACAGATGGTTCCATAGTGCAGGCTGTGGAGGTAGGTAAATTTGTACAGTAGTGTACTTGCACACAAAGCTGCTAACTTTCCATTGTGTGAATTGTTTAAATGGATGGCTGCCAAGATTTCCCATTAACCACACATACCGAGTTTTCACTAAGCTGGGGTTTTGTTACCAGATGCAAAGAAAACATTCTAATGTTGAAATAAAACTGTTGTCCTATAGAGAGGGAATGGCATGCGTTGCAATTCATCATTTTTTTCCAGCATGATACCTAATCTTTTAAAGAGGATTACTTGCAAAAATGATTAGGTCTCAGATATCATATCTATACATTTAACTGTAGTTTTTTATGCCAGATATCCAGTATTACATCTCTCTGGGGGAGGTATGTTAAGAATATTATATTTTTACATTAAAAAAAAAATTAAACTCATGCTGGTGGCAAGTTAAACTGCGGTAATATAGCATCACCTATCATTAGGTCTTTGCTTTTATTCTATATAATCTATTCTAGTTCATTCTCTTGTGCTGTCTATTACATAAGAGAAATGCTTGCATACATAGTTATTCAGGTTGAAAAAAGACATGTCCATCGAGTTCAACCTCTCAAACCAACCAAACATTTCTAAATATTTGTGATCGAGGTTTACTTATGGATCTGTTTATAAACAATTCACTCTGTGAACGTTCGCTCTATGCAGAGGCAAAAACTAACGTTCTTAGTATATTTTCTTTTCAGATCAAATGTAATGTAGTGCCACATTATGACAACTAGATGGAGCTCAGGAGCATATGATATTTATCTTCTATGCTTCTCAGGTCTATCTAGAGGCCATAATGCCGTATTACATTACATTTCACCTAAAAAGAAAATATACTAAGAACGCTTGTTTTTGCCTCTGTTCGCACAGAACTCCACTGAAGTGGCACACATGCAATCAATAACTTCCCTCTGCTAAACTGAGATAGCCAGCTTATGGTAAAGCAAGCCTAAAAGAACTAAAACACCCTTCCTTTAGCACTGCAAAATACACTGTCTACTTAAAATGGAATGTAGATGTTTTCAATACATATCCATAATCAAGGGGTGCATTTCCTTTTAAAAAAATGGATGGGGCTATGCAAATCATTCCTTTATGTACCTCTCACGAACCACAAACTGTTTTCTGGATGGGAAGAGGAAAGAATCTGCTCTAAAATGTTTGATCCTTTTCTAACTGACACACCTGGCTGTCGAAAGTAACTGATAGGAGAAACACGCACTTTAGGAACTTGAGTCTGTTTTGGTGTTGTAGACAGACACCGGGGATAGGTCAGGAGACTGAGCCCGAATGCCACGCACTCCTTAACATGGAAATACCATAGTATATATTTACACCAAATACCTACATATACACCGCAAATGCTGCATGATCTAAACATAACTGACAATAAAATAGAACATAGTTATTCATACTGTACTAATTCACATGCAGAAGCAGGTACAATGTTGGATTGTGTGTATGTCACCTAGGTCTCTCACATACACATGGGGAGGCATTCCAGGGAAAACATTTTGTTTTCTCAGATCCTAATAACATCTGTTCTGGGTGCTGGGGCACAGAGGCTTTGTGGTATAAATCCACCATTCCTATGTCCACATCTTACCTGTTAGCCAGAAACCTCATTAGTATCAGCTGTCCATAGGTAGGTAGGTATATTTTTTCTGAGTTCTGACAGAACACTAAAAAGGTACAAGTGCTGCCTTTTTTTTTAGGGGTCCCCTTGTTAGGCAGGAACTGACCTAAGTTTAGATAGTAGCTCTGGCAAGCAGAGGCTTTGTTTTATGCTGTGGACATTCTGCACAAATCTCTTCTGCATTGAAAACTGTGTTTGTGTGTTGTCTTGCTGAAAAAAGGTGCGAACAAACCTGCTTGGACTGTTTCTGGGTTTTTCTGTCTCGTGCTTGACGTACTGCTTTATACACTTTTTAAAGGGGACAGTGGAGCCACATATTGCACTTTGTAAAACAACACCAAAATATTTTGCCGTGTATCTTGGCCACTATGTTTTTTATATATTGCCTTCAAACAGGTGTCAGTCCATATTATGTGAACTCCAGCAAAGGTTAATAGCCGCTCTGTCTGACTGTGCAGAGGAGGGCTATTTCTCCTATTCAAGTCAGCAATATGTAATCCATTCTGCTACAACTTTTTCACCAGTGGTAAAATCAGTATATTCTATTTATATAGACATGGTCTTTCCATTGTTCATATAAACTCCATCTTTTTATTCCTGAGATTTAATACAAACATTTTACTTGGCTGTGTCAGAATTTTGAAAGTGTCCTGCGATAAAAAAAAGTTTGTCAAAATCAGGCCAGACAAACACACATAACAGCCACTGGCATTGCACCATTACTATCTAATAAGCAGATTCTCAATATGACTCATTATATTTAGTAAGTAATCTTAATATGAATCAAAGGGCCTCATGTATCGGATGGTCAGGAGTGTCTTCTTCCTACTGCCACCAATCTGATTCAGACTTTCAGATTCCAACTAACATTTCGGAGGGGACTGAATTCTACAGTTGATTAGAGGCAGTAAGAAAAGAAGTTCTTAGTACTAAAACTTGAGTACTTGAGGTTCAGTCATAGAGTGTAGAAATGCCCTAAATAGAAAAATATAAATGCAGTGGAAATAATATATGATGCATTTTGCTACTGTGTACATCCATATCTTAGTAACATACTCATTATGCGCTATGATTTTACATTGCCACCTTTCCTGGACACAAAAGGGCAGGAAGAGGCACAAGGCTTCACCTGAATACATTTAGGTAAATTCTGCTTGAGCATGCATTGAGTCAATGTTCTATTGCATTTAATTAGTTTTGTATCTTTTCTTCAACAATGTTAAAAGTCAGTTTTGTTTTTACTTGCAGGAGGGAAGGAGAAGGTCTACGTATCCATTGGGACAAACTGCGTGAAATCCCCTTTTTCTCCCGCTGGAACCCTTTATCCAGTGACATACCCTACACTACTTTCATTGATCACCCATTGAAGAACTACTCTGAGAAGTTTTCTTCCATTTGTCAGGTAAGGGAACTTCACTAAATAGAAAAATCAGCAGCATCTTACAGATACAGTTTAGCATAGCCTCTACACTGGAGCCTTTGGGGCAGTAGTTTAATTTTAAACCCATACGTTCCCATTGAAAGGGAACCAAAGCCAAACCTTTTTTTGGCTTTAGTTCACTTTTGGGTCACAGGAGTACATTTACTAATGTCCCCCTGTGACTCGTGTGTGGATGTGTAGACAAATCCCTAGTGAGCAGTAGGAGAATGGAGGTGAGGGCTCAGATGCTGACTTTTCACAAAAAGGCAAAAATAAAATATTGGTAATTGTGGTTTAGTTTGCTTAGATTGTATCTAAAGCCATTTTTGTTAGTTTTAGATAGAGTGGTGAGGGGCTAGAACCCCTTTCAGGTTATTGTTGCAGTCTGCCCTGCCCATTAGGGAGAGTCACTCTCTCCGTTTGTCCTAGGGACCATTGTCACCGGAACCGAAAGTAAAGAGAAATCCAAAATATTTGAGTTGTCGGCCTAATAGGAATAGAGGGATCATCTTCTAAATGCCTACTTGTTCTGGTGACAGTTATGTAAGAGGACATTTCCCTCTCCTTAAAGGTGCCCATACACTGCTCGATTCTCGTACAAGAATCGCGGGAAATCCCACGATCGTACGAGAATCGAGCAGTGTGAACAAAGACGTGCGAACGTTTCTACTGTACGGTCGCACGTCTTTTGTCTAAGGAACACGCTAGAAAACCAGCCGGGAATCGTTCGATTTTCGGCTGGTTTGAATGGTGCTCGGGAGACAAATGCCGAACGGGCCGGTGTGCACACGCGCACACTGCCCGTTCAGCATTGCGGTTATCGGAAGCCTGCCCCTCAGGGGGGCGGGCTTGCGATGATCCGAGAGTACGATCTGCCTGTCCAAGATGGGCAGATCGTACGTTTTTTTAATCACTTTACAATCATCGCAAGACTAAGGTCTTGCGATGGTTGTACAGTGTATGGCCACCTTTTAGAGAGATTCCTTTTCATGTCCTATTGTGTCTACAGGACCAGTAAGGCAGTAAGGGGAAAAAACATTCCCTCCCCCCATTGAGACAAAGATAACAAAAAACTTGTTGTTATCCATTTTATCCATTTCCTACTCTATCCAAAAATAAAAAAATGGCTTTAGAGATGCAAGAAAATGCACATTTTGGGGTAAGGAAGGAGTGTGTTTTAAGCAGCTGTGGTACAGATTATAAAGTTACCACTGTGTTTATGCTTGGGGAATGGAAAGGTTTTTGTTTAAGTAGGAAGGGCTCAATAGAGGAGTTGCATAAATGTGGCCAAACTGGCATTCAGCAATCACCTCATTCTCTGTAGGCTCTTGCAAACTGTATGTCAAGGTAAAATTTAAATAACATATTGAGTACATCTCTGACATACATGCACATTTTTACTTGTTTTATCTTATTAAACTTGCTGCATGTACAGAACAGTGACTGGTAATGTGCCAGAAATATATCATGCTCCCAACATCCTCTTTGACATGACAATACAGATCAGAATTCCTAAGTACATGGTGTCAGCCGTGTCTACTTCATTTCTGATGAAGTAGGCACGCCTCTCCGTATCTCCTCCCCTTCCTTATCTTCATACCCCTTCTTGAGCACTTGCAGAGAGAACAGAAAGTTATCAGCTCACAAGATTTCTGGCAAAATCAACAAGTAATTTTTGCACTTATCAAACAGATATAACAAAACACTTATATTGATATATTTATCATTCCAGAAGGGAGCAAATAATAGAAGTTATTTGTTGGGGTGGTTGACATACACTTTGAGGAAGCTCAAAATGGCATTTAAGCTCTCCATC